ACCGACCCGTGATGAGATCCTATTCCGTGGGCCCATAACAATGTACCTCAGGTCTCACCCTGGCAGCTGAGACAAGCCACCCCAACCAACTTGGCGGTACATCAGTGTCAGCCTTGGCAGGATAAATCTCCCCAGATCTATCCAACGGCTGTGAAGATTGTAAACTAACACGAGTCTCATAAGTGTCCAGTTTAAGGGTATTACACAGAAACACACAACAATGGCATGAATCAATTATCTATTTATTCATTTACAATAAATGTCAAAAGGTACATCAATCTAATTGGAGCTAAGGGCATAACTATCTAACATCCCCCTAGTATGTATGGTAAGGAGATGCAAGGCAAGGTGTGCAAATTGAAGAAGTCACTTTATGGTTTGAAGCAATCTCCACGTGCTTGGTTTGAGAGGAGAAATACTTTGGTCACATTTATTGTTGTTTATGTAGATGACATTGTTATTTACTGGAAGTGATACATAAATCTTAAGAAGTTCCTTAATTCTGAATTTGAGATCAAAGACTTAGGGGAGTTGCGGTATTTTCTAGGCGTTGAGGTTGCTAGATCCAAAGGTGTCTTCATTTCTCAGTAGAAATATGTGTTCGATCTTCTTACTAGGACTGGGAGACTTGGTGCTAAACCTACCTCCATCCCCATCGATGTGAATCATAAACTCTTAGCTGGTGATGGAGAGCTTTTATTAAACAAGGGAGTGTTTCAAAGATTGTTGAGGAAACTTCTCTTTGTATGACTCATCCGGACATATCATATGTTGTAAGTGTAATAAGCCAGTTCATGTATGCTCCCAGAGACATGGCTGCAACAGAAAGAGTACTATGATATCTTAAGAGAACTCCTAGAAAGGGCATACTGTTTGCTAAACATAGTCATATGAAGGTAGAGGCATATACAGATGTTGATTGGGCAGGTAATGTTAATGATAGGAGGTCCACATCAGCCTATTGTGCTATAGTGGTTGGGAATATTGTTTCCTAGATGAGGAAAAAGCAATTAGTGGTTGCTAGATCTTTAGCTGAAGCAGAATATAGGGCTATAGCCCATGGGGTTTCTAAGTTGTTATAGCTTAGATCTCTCCTTGAGGAGATGGGCGTCTCATGTGACAAGCCACTAATGTTATATTGTGATAACCAAGCTGCTATTAACATTGCTTACAACCCGGTTCAGCATGATAGAATTAAGCACATTGAGGTAGACAGACACTTTATACGAGAAAGAGTGGCTTCAAGAGAGGTGTGCCTTCCTTTCATTGCATTAGAAGAGCAGCTAGTAGATTTTCTAACTGAGTGATTTGACATCTATGCTTAGCTTGAGGGGGAGTGTGGTGAGAATGGGCCGAATGGGCCTTAGTTTCTTTATTTTTCTTTAAGTTATATTTATAACTCGTGTTAGTAGGTAGTGGGCCTTAGTTATGGGTCTGTTTTTTCTTTTTTTTTATTGTTTTTTATTGTTATCTTTGGTGATGGATGCCATACTGAGGACACTCATGTAATTGTCTTTATTTTTTACAATACAAGAACAGAAAGAAACCATTGGAGGCTGAAGAGAGGTTTAGAACTCTCTCTCTCTCCCTTCTTCCCTTTCTTCCATCTTCTTCCTCCTTTACTTTTCTCTCTCCCATCTTCTTCAATCTTCTTCTTCTCTTCCGTTTTTCTTTTCTTTATTCAGATTGTTCAGATTGTTGCAGGTGTGTTTCACAACTCACAACATGAAAGGAAATCCCTTACTGCTTCACTAAACTATGATCCTCTAACTCAGGTTTGAGTACTCATTAGTTTGAACTTGTCTTTCTAGCTTCTAGAAGTCTATGTTAACTACATACAGCTAGGATGTGGTTCAGCAAAGTGTCAAACAAAATATTGACACTAGAAGTTGAACCATCCAACATGACAATACACCCATGTACAGATATCCAGGTATCATCGTTAGTCATGTGTATGCCTAAATGTTCACACTTGGGGGATAGGTTTGAGACACACCTGAGCTGAGAGAATCTTGTGATCAGCTTCCATCATTCCTTTTGAGAAATCACCTATCTGTTTTGGGTTAATGAAAGGAGGGACCTCAAAAAAGCTGGACCTTTCAACTGCCTCTTCTACAGATAGAATAGGTGATCCTAGATCCTCTGTGTCATAATCAATGACAGCAGAATTGGCTGCCATGTCAGCATGCTTCTGTGTATCTGCAACCTACAAAAAGCATTTCAATAAATGCGTCAGTTAAACAAGCTGACAAAGGAAATTCATCAAATTGAACATTCATGACAAACACCAATAAAAAATCAGATTACTTACAACAAGAGCAAGTGGTTGGCCTGCATACTGAGTAATATCATCAGCAAATAGAGGTTCACTATTAAAAATAGTCCTAGTTCCTATGTTCTCTCCTCCCTCTGGGATATCTTTATAGGAAATAATACCAACAATTCCATATGGTACTGGGGTTGATTTTAGTTTAATATCCTTTACACGTGCCAAAGCCCTTGTGCTATAAATGAATGATCCATAAAGACAATCTTTTGGAGAAGTAATGTCATCCACATAGACAGCCTCACCTGCATAGTTCAAAAGTAAGAGACACGCATGGTGCTGCCTCAATCAATTAAATATTTTTTCCCTTTTCGAGTGAACATAATAAAAAAATTAAATGAATAAATGCAACTAAGAATTAATCATTAATTATTTATATTTTAATGAAATAATTTTGGTAGGATGGATAAGTATGGGATGGGATGGGATGGGAAAGGGAAAATGGGTGGAAATTTTTCATGATCCATTGTTTGGTTGCAAAAGGGAAAATAGTTGGAAAATCAACCCTAGTAACAATTATTAATTGATTAATTAGTAATATTTTTATTATTATTAATCATTAATTCTTTATATTTTAATGAAATAATTTTATAATTAATTAATATGATAATTATATAATTAATTACTAATTAAGAATTAACATTTTTTTATTTTATTTAATTAATATTTACTATGAATGATTTAATTATTTATTTTATTTTTAATGATTTCACATTTTTGTTATTTAATTATTTTCATTAAAACATTAATTGGATTAATAATAAAGCCCTTATTTATTTATTCATTAATTACTTAGTTAATTAATTGTTAACTATTTTTTGTTAATATTTTTATTATTTATTAATTTATTATTAATTAGATGTTAATTATTTAAAATCAATGATTAGTTAATTAGTTATTTTAATAAATTAATATTTTACATTTTATTATTTTATAAGTTATTAATAATATTATATTTTATAAATACCAATGACTTAATTAATAATTTTAATATTTTAATATTAATTACTCATAAATTATTAAATTATTTTTATTGATAAACTATTTCTATTAATTTATTTTAATTCAATTATTAATATAAAATAATTATTTAAGTATTAAATTACATATTTTGTTATTAATTCTTAATTAATTAACAATATTTTATGATTTAGTATTTTATTGTTAACTATTAATTTGATAGTAATTAGTTAAATAATTATTAACATTAATTAATATTTTAATCTTTATCAGTTTCTATTTTATTTTATTAATACTTTCTGAAAAAATAATTAATCATTAAATTATTTATTGACTAACATTTTTATTAATTATTTATTTTAAGTTATCTGTGGTTTGTTTTAATCAAATTATTTTATTAATATGTTATTAAATAATTAATAATTTATTTATGATTCATAGATCCCGTATTAACTCTTAGACATACTACAAGGAAGGCAGTTTTTGTTAAATAAATTTTTTTTTTTTGAAAGGTAAGGTAAGATTTCATTAATTCAGGTGGACTAGCCAGGGAACAAAGTCGGATTACATTCAGGTGCTTAAAGTCAGGAGTTACAAAGACCCAAGAAATCAGCTTGCTGACTGCCTGTTGCAGTAACTCATCAATGCTCTTTGACTTATTGCAAAAGACTATTGTTTCTTTCTGACCAGATTACCCAAAGAACAGCCGCAGGGATTGTCTTCCATATTAATTCTCCTTTTTCTTCAAGCCTGCAATCTTCCAGTTGAGCAGGTCTTTGACTAAACTTGGCATGGCCCAACATATTAGCAGCTCTGAGAAAATGTTCCCACACTCTAGAGGAGATAGGGCAGTGGATGCTCAGGTGGTCCGTGGATTCAAGAAAAAGTCCACAAAGCCTACACAAGAGAGATGAGAGCTGTAGACCCCTCCTATCCAAGCTGATTTTAGAGAGGCACTAGTTCAGCACCATAGTCCACACAAGGAAGTTAGACTTGGAGGGAGAAACAGTATTCCAAATTTGTTTACAAAGGAAATTAGCAGAACCAATGCTGCTGAGTTTAGATGTCAGGGACTTAACTGAGAAGCAGCCTTCCCCACTCCATTTCCAGCTCCATTGATCCTCATTATTAGTATCAATATTCTGACCCTGTAAAAGATCCAGCAGCTCCAAAACCCCATCCAATTTCCAGTCAAACAGGTCTCTTCTGAACTGAGGGTTCCTGACCACTGTGCTGTGCTGTTGAAGAAGACATATGAATCAACCACTGAGACTTCTTGATTTGCAATACACTGAGAAAGAAGGGGAAAGGCCTCTGCTAAAGGGTTATCCAGACACCAGGGATCTTTCCAAAACTTCAGCCTACCACCTCTACCCACCTTGAATCTCACACATTCTGTTAAGACCCGTGTAGAAGCAAGCCCGAAAAAGGAGGTCCAGGCCCATGGCACTCGAAGCCCAATCCAGTGCACCCCACGAATCACGCGCACCACACCTCCTCTGAGGTTCGTTTACACGCACCGTCCATGTCAGGAGAAGTGATCAGAGTTCGTTAGTCTGTTAGAAGACGTGATTTCTTGCTATAAATATCTGTAATGAGTTCTTGTAGAGCACGACAAGATTAAACCTAATAGCATCTTCTTTCCCTCTTCTCTCTTCCTCTGTTCCTCTCTCTTTTTCTCTCGTTCATTTCAGGAGGGTGAGCTCCCTCGAACCAGCTCTACCCATTCTCAGCTGCCCAGGAAAGCAAGCTCATCAATTGGTATCAGAGTCTAGCGACGATGCCAACCACCAGATCCACGGCAGCAGAAGAAAGGATTGATCGGATTGAAGGGGAGGTGCGGCAGACCACCAATGAGTTGAGAGATATCAAAGAGACACTCTCAGCATTGGTTGGGCAGTTCGAACAATTGTCATCGGCACCTAGAGCTTCAGAAGTCGAAGGATCCAGCAGCGGCAGAGGGAGCAGGCGAGGAGTCTTTCCTGTCAAAGCCACCAAGATAGACTTCCCACTCTACTCAGGTGATGACCCTGTCCCTTGGATATACCAAGCCGAGCATTATTTTGAATTTCATGAGACCCCAGCAGACCAGAAGGTTTCCATTGCCGCCATTCACATGGACGGTGAAGCCATTATGTGGTATCAGTGGTACCATAAGACCCACCCACAGACCACTTGGTTAGATCTAACCGGAGCTTTACAAGTGAGGTTCGGACCCTCAAGCTATGATAACTTCAATGAGTCTCTCTCAAGAGTGAAACAAACCGGGACCGTGAGGGAGTACCAGAACGAGTTTGAACGGTTGGCCACTAGAGTTCATGGCTGGCCGGAGGCCGCTCTAGTGGGATGTTTTATAGGGGGATTAAGGGACGATATCAGGATTGAGGTGAACACCATGCAACCAGCTACATTGAGCTTGCTGTGCTTTTACATGCAGAAAACCATTTAGTTTGACGGTAGTTGTATTATATACTTTACAGGTTCAAGAGGTATATGAGCTTGCTGCTAAGTGTGAAGGGAAGCATGACTTTCAAAAGCTGGAAGAGCTTGAAAATGTCTTAACAAGTCTAGATCCAGGGGACTCTATTATTGTTGCCAAATCATTCTCCCACATGCTTAACTTGGCCAATTTGGCTGAGGAGGTTCAGATTGCTCACCATCGGCGGACCAAACTTAAAAAGGGAGATTTTCATGATGAAAACTCGGCAACAACTGAATCAGACATTGAGGAAACTCTGAAAAGACTTTTTGTGCAGCTAAAGAAGTCCCCAAAAGAAGCTTTTGATGCACTGAATAATCAGATGGTGGATTTGGTCTTTACTGCACATCCTACTCAATCAATTCGTAGATCTTTGCTCCAGAAGCATGGAAGGTTTTCCCCCTCCTAAATACTTTTGACTTTTGACTTTACAATTGAAGAAAAGAAAAAGGTCATATGGTGTATGTGTGTGTTCTTTTGTATTATAGTCCTTGGGTTTGGATATCACAAGGTCTTTTTTCTATGTTGGTTCTACTATGTTTTCTTTCTATTTATCTATAGCTTCCTTTTGGTCTTAGGATAAGGAATTGCTTAACCCAGTTGAATGCCAAAGACATTACTCCTGATGACAAACAAGAGCTTGATGAAGCTCTATAGAGAGGTAAAAAATAATTGGTGCTATCATGATTTTTCCTTTTCATTTCTGTCAGATGCTTGGCTCCAATATCTCTTACTTTTATAAGGTACTTATAGTGAATTATCAACTTGAAAGGTCAATTATAACTTCAAGATTTTATCTTTTTTGCCCTCCTTGTTTAAAACTAAAGTCATCATGTATGTATAATCTTCCACCCAATATACATAACTGAAATGGCAAAAACTACTTTGTTATCATATTTTTGCTTCCTGAACCAAAACATATTTTGTTGTTATAATCATCATTTATGCCTTAAGCCAACTAAATGGGGTCAGCTACATGAATTCTGTTATGTTCAATGTCATACTCTGTTATAATAAATGTGCAAAATTGTTTTGTTTGAGATTGAAATTATATTTGAAGATGCAAAGTTGTTCTGTTTGAAATTATTGAAATTTTATTTGAAGCTACCAACTGGTTCGGTTAGTAAGGTCTCTAGCTGGTTGTAGTGGAGACTTGAGATCAAATTCTGTTTTCACCAAAGTTGAGGGGTGTCATGGGTTTAGGGGATGGACTACCCCCTTTGTGTAGCCACATGGAACTAAATAAAAGTTGTGTTTTGACAGTTGTGTTTAAGTAGTTCGAACCAGTAGAGAGTAAGGGAGAAAGAAGAAGAAGAAGAAGGAAGAAGAAGAACAGTCGAATCTGATAACTAAACCCTATCAGTCGACCATAATGTAGATTAGTCTCTTATTAGTTGTACAAAGACTAAACTGCCCCCACTTAAGTATGGGACAGGAAGTCTCTATTAGAACTGCCACATAAGCACATAATTTAACTAAATAAAATGACTAATCTACCCTTATTCAGCTAGTTCTAGCACTCCCCTTCAAGCTGGAGAATATATATCATATAATCCCAGCTTGTTACATATATAGTTCACTCTCCCTGAGCTTAAGCCTTTTGTAAACAAATCTGCCCATTGATCACCTAAGCCCACATGTTCTGTGCTTATCTCTCCAGTAAGGACCTTCTCCCTCACAAAGTGGCAATCAATCTCTATGTGCTTTGTTCTCTCATGAAAAACAGGGTTAGATGAGATGTGCAGTGCAGCTTGATTGTCACAGTACAATTTCATA